ATTATCACTAGGTAGCACCTTCTAAAAATTGTTCACCAAATAAACATTACTGCGTTTTGGGTTGCTCACCTCTCCTGGAGTTAGAGTCCAGGTTCTTCTTGTCTAAAACAAAGAATTGAATAAAACAAGTAAAAAGCAGTAGCAAAGTTTATCTGAAAAAAGTGAAAGTGAAAACTGACGGAGAAAGTGGCCCTGCATAGCGAGCTTGGGCTGAGTAAAAGAGGAAAAAGCAAGGTAAAAGTACACCCTGGAGAAGCAGAGCAAGCTAGCATGTGGAAAGCCACGATAGCAAGCTATTCTCCACAGCTGTGTACTTTTATACTGCCCAAATCTAGAGGAAACCCATGAGAACTTCCACGTACAGATCCTGGGAGGCAGGGCTGGGATCCCGTACCGAGGCTGTCCCATTGAAAACCTGCTTGAGTTCTGGCGATAAATTCAGGGCTTTGGGAACTGCTCTGCGCATGTGTTCTGGGCCCTTGTCATTAACAGGTCACACGTACAGCTTTGCCGAACCCTAATCTTCTATGACAATGCCTCATTGAGGACCATTTAGGAAGAGATTGAATGTTAGGAGGTGAGAGGGACAGGAACGGTCCAGGCGAAGCATAAGCTAAGGCAAAGGCTGTGAGGAAGGAATTTCTGTGGTGCATTTGAGGCCGAAACCCAGGGAGCTAAAAGAGATTCACAGGGATGACAGAGGAGCATTAAGAATTCAGAAATGGTGGGCTCTGATGGGCCCAGCAGTACGGGGAGCCACTGGAGTACGTTCAGCTGCGAACTTTGGCTTTTGATACGATAATGTGGCTGTAAGTTGGAAGCAGAGAGACCAGCGAACAAGGCTGTGCAGTAACCCAGGTGAGATCAGGGACAGCTGGGGCAGAGTGGGAGAAGCTGAATAGTAAGAAGGGGTTTTGAATACGCTTTGAAAACGAGACCAACTGATTTGATGCAGAACTGGATAAAGGCCTGAGCTCATTCTGCAGGATGACTTCTGTGCTCCTGGAACCCAATTGCCTCAATGAAGAGAAAAAAGACTGAGCAGAGGATATTTGGGTGAAGCAGGTAAGGGGAGTGGTTGAGTGGAGCAGAAATTCAATGTTAGAAATATCCAGATTGAGATGTCTGCTACCCATTCGCGATAGGAATCTAACATCTGAGTAAAGTAAGTTCCAGAGAGACAAAATTGAGAAAACAAGGAAGAACACAGAAATTTGGAAGTTTTAGTATGCATTAAGCTGGGAGTTTGAACCCGAGCACCCCCCCCAAAAAAAAGAGAGAGAAAAATAAAAAGTTTTAAGACAAGACTAAAGTTTTAAGATAGGGTTGAAAGTATCTACGAAGCCCCATTCATAGTATATTGTGTAGCTCAACTGTAAATGATATTTACACAGTTAGAAAAATGTGAACTCTGACTTTAATATTAAATAAAATGAATCTACAACTATATTGGTTTTATGTGGAACAAGAAGTATGTGTGTCTATGTGTAAGAGAAATACAGCAAGACAGTGAGCTTGTATAAGAATATGTTCAAGTCAGTAGATAATATCTTAAAAGGAAAACTTGGGAAAGAATAATATAAACATAACATTTCTAGATACGGCAATAAATTCCAGAAGAAACAGCTAAAATATTTAAAGGCTGCAGGTTCCAGCCTTGAACAAGCAAGAATTTGTCTCAAAATAAAAAGAACTGGGATTTAGCTCAGTGTGAAGGCCCTCAATTCAATCCCCAATACTGAAAATAAATAAACAAACAAATAAACATTTTAAATAAAATATAATATTGCTCCATTACCTTCTTGCATCCTGCATTGCTGTTTTGTTTATTGTTCTTTTGGAGGTTGTCTCTTTATATTATTATCCCAAAACACCTTTAGATTTTTTTTTTTTTTTTTGAGACAAGGTCTCCTTAAATTGCTGAGTTACCCATGCTCGGTTGGAACTTGTGACCCTCCAGCTTCAACCTCCCAGAATGCTGAGATTACACTCATGGACCATCACACCCAGCTCTCTTTTAGTTTGATTTTTAGTGACTTAAAAGTTTATTCTAATATTCATTCTTTCTCTTTCAACTTCAGTACATAAAGAGCCTTTTAATCTGTGAAATGTATCTCCTCAATTTTTTCCAATAATTCCTTTGCTATTTTACACAGCTTATTTGCATTCTATTTTAGCCTCCACATCCATCAGCTTTTCTGTTACATTTTCTCTTTGTCTTTTCTACTTTCTATTGGAATTTCTAGCCTTTAGCTGCAACCGTTTTATAATTTATTCCTTACATTGTATTTTTTTCAACTATTTTATTTTCTATACTATATTTCCACTTGATTCTTCTTTATGCTTTCTTGCTCTTACTTTATATTTGAATAAATTCTGCTACCTATTAAATATATTTATCATGCTTATTTTAAACTCTAGATCTCTTTGTTCCAATGATGCCACTTCAGAAGATGTTTTCTAAATTGTTGCCTTAAATTGACTTAAATATGGAACCTAAAGATAATTCCTAGAATTTGAAAATGTTGCCATACTTGGAAAAATGGTCTTGCAGATGATTAGGTTGATAATCTTGAGCTAAGGAGATGATCGTGGCTTTACCAGGAGGTTTTCTAACTAAACGGCATGACAGTGTCCTAGTAAAGAGATAGGCAAGGGGCAAACCCGTTAAAAGGTGACATGAAGATGGTACAGAAATATTTGACAATATTGGCCTCTAAGACCAGGGTGTTGCAGCCATAAGCTAAGGAATGCTAGCAGACTGGAAGACACAGCAAAAAGATGAACTCCTCAAGTTTCCAGAGGAAGTATAGCCCTGAAGATGCTTGATTTCAGCTTTGTGATACTGATTTTGGACTTCTGGTCTCCAAAACTGGCAAATAATGCATTTCTGTTCTTTTAGGTCATCAAGTTTGTGGCGATTAATTACAGCTTTTAAAGAATTTCCTACCTGATGGTCCATGAATTATACTTTGATTAGCAAGGTCCTAGAGAACAATTTACACATTCAAAACATTTTGTGAAGATGCTCTTAACCACTTCCTGGGCCAAATTCTGGTTTAGCACTAGAAAGGTCTCTACACTTGAAAAATGAAGGATAATATGGGGCTATCCCTGTGGATTTTTAGAAGGGATCTAGCATAAAAATTCTCACTCAGGCCAGTACGGGGTGTGTGTGTGTGTGTGTGTGTGTGTGTGTGTGTGTGTGTGTGTGTGTGTAGACCATATAACTGGAGTCCCTCCACCTACCTGCAGGGGGCATGCGCTGCTATGAACTTCCAGATGCCAGGCAGAAGTGCTAGCACAGGGTGCATCTGTGGTCCAATTTGTCAGGAGATGTGAAATGAGGGTTTTATGTGAAATTTTCTGACTTCTAAATGTGTTCAATTAACTTTTTTTCTCAAAAAGATCTTCAGAAAAGCTAAACAAAACAAGTCTGTTGGTCAGATGCAGCCTGCAGGGTGCTTGTTCACTCTTTGGTCCAGGTTTCTGCCTGAGCCTTGGGAAGCAGAAAAGGACCTATTAGGTTTAGCTCTCCTCACGGAGGTGGCCTCTTTGGGCACTGAGATATCTCTCTGCACTTGAAATAACCATGGAACAGCGCAAAGGCAGGAGTCTGCAAGGGAGAAAAAAAGAGATATAAGGACTCAAAGCAGCTGAGAAACCAAGCCCCTGTGAGACTTTTTTTTTAACATTTTAATTCACATTTATTTAAATATAGTAATTTTGTAGACAAATAAAAAAGTATGTATATACATACTTATAACATAGTAGACATAAATATAAATAAAATGTATATTTTAGAAAAATTTAACAGATATATTAGGCAAATGGACCATATGCTTACATTTAGTTTTAAGAGTACTTTGAGGTGGATTTTGAAAAAGATGAGCATTTGCTAAAAGTGTTACAAAATGTTCACATTTATGTCAGTAAGAGTTCCTAGACAGACATTTTATGAATACTATGTAAAGATCTAACTTATTAACCTCATATGATAATGTCATTTGTAAACAAAGCACATTTTTGTCAATAGAGATGTTCCTGTAACTTTATTTATTTATTTATTTATTTGGGTTTTTTGAGACTGGGTCTCACTATGTAGTTGCAACTGACCTGGATCTCACTATGTAGTCCAGGCTGGTCTCAAACTCACAGTGATCCTCCTGCCTCAGCCTCCCGAGTGCTGGGATTACAGCCGTGTACCACCACATCCAGCACCTGTAACTTTAAATAATACAGCTTTTTTTTTATCAAGACCACACCACATTTATTGAACAAACATGCATAATACACTGAAAATTGAATAATGCATTTACTTTTATGCATAGTGTTAAGTTTTGCTACGGCACTCCATCTTTACAAAAAACAAACTTGAAAGTTTAGCACAGAATTAATAAATTGTATTGCTACTAATCAAAATAAATGTGATTTAGCTTTTCCATGGCACAGAAAATTCCCTCACAAATTACCCATTCACTTTACAGTTGATTGACCAATAGCAGTTCTCTTCAGTTTTAGTTAATGATGGCAATCTAAGAACTAAAAGTCATAGCTAGATGTTCTGCCTACACTGTAATTGGAAATGAATCGAGTTCAGAAATCATAACAATAAATCATTTTCATGTATTGTGGCAGCACATTTCTAAATAAGGGTGGTACCAACAATAATACAAATCTTTGTGAGATGCTTTTTGTCAGAAGGTAGAAAGGTTGAAAGTGTGAACCTCTTTAAAAACTGGGAACACGTGTGGTAAGGAGGACCACAGCCAACTGAGGCAGCAGCCAGGAAAGTTCTCTGGGTAGCTGGTCAGAGAATATATTCAAAAGTGGGCAAAGGGTGGAGAACAGAGGCACGAACACAGGAATCGCAGAGGGTGGGAATGGTGGCCAGCAGTCTAAGGAAACACAAGGGTACACTTGAGAAACATCCTGTAGAATCTTTATGGCATTCTTGCAAACTATTACTGCTATGGAGAAGTTTTAAATTTCCACATCAGATCACTTCTTGGCCTTTTGGCTAAGATGAAATATACTATTTTTACCAGTTTAATGTCTCACACATCTTCTACTGAGGAGATTATATTAAATGGAATTTTGGAGCTGGGAGATGGAATAGGAGCTTGCCTCATCCACTCCACACATCAACCTAATATTCCAGTACCTCCAGGAATGGTGCACCACCCCCCACCCTGGGAAATTAAAGAGCCATAAAGGTCAGAATCAAAAAGAAATCCCATATCAGCATGTCTAAATGAAGACTGAAGAAATTAAGTTAATGGGAAAGTTCTTCTCCAAATTCATTCATGAACACTGCAGAAGAAAAGGAATAGTATGAACTCCAACTTCCTCTGAACCAAGGAAAGGATTCATCCTTACTCTAAGCTCAGGTTGTGGAGTTGTAGTAACCAAGAGGTCCTCACAGTGTTGTATTTTGAGAGACCAGCTGAAGTAATTTGCTCCTGTCATAAGACCTTGATGGTTTCATTTTTATATTATGTGGGGAAAGGGAAGTAGCACTGACGCTCCATTTTTATTCTAAAGAATGAAACAATAAACATGATTTATTTTACTTGCTTTATGATCTTTACTTTTCTGAGAGCCTTTAAAAACGGTGGAATGATAATGGACATAATGCCAAATGGGTTAAACAAATTAGGCAAACCTTTTTATTTTTCCTTTTTAAAGTTGTTAAGGTGCAAACACATAAAAACTATGAGTAACAGAGCAGAATTTTCAAAGGTGAGATCATTCCAAAATTGCGACAGGATTTCACTGATAAAGAGTAAGTGGTCAGGAAGGTCGCTGATGGCTTTGTTACCCAGGAGCTCAGCCATGTGCCATCTGTTCTCCACAGCCTGCTACAGTCACACTGGGTGTGCTTTCCTTGTCTGCCTCTGGAGCTCGTTGCTTCCTATTTCTGAAGTTTGCTTCTTGGCTCCTTTGCCATCTCCTTCTGTCTCTGGTACTGAAGGCTTTTAGATTCTGGAAGCACCATGAAAACACTTCTGAACTTGGGAGAGTCCTAAATACAAACAAAGGAAGGTGGTATTCTATCACTGATATTCTGCCACTTGCTGTCCTGAAGTTTTTTCAGTCAAGATGATTTCTTTTGATACATTAAATCTTTACTGACTTGTACACAAAACAGAAGGGACAGTTTTATTACATTATTTGTAATGAAATTATGTCAGAGAAACAAAATTAAATGAGGTAATAAATATAAAGTGCCTGGCAAAATGGCTGACACATAAGGAGCCCTCATTAAATGTTAGATTCTTCTGCTTGACCTTAGAGGTCTCGGACCATGGAGAATGAAAGTACTGTATAACATATGTGCATCTTGATGTCACATTTGAAGTTTATTCCCTCATCAAGCAGCAGTTGTTTTATTGTATGACTTGAGTGCAGTGAAACCTTAATTTAGCACACAGATAAATAAAAACATAGTTAACTAGTCTTACTGGAACACATTAGGCAATTTAAGGGTTAATCTGAAACAGACAAAAATGAATGAAATTTACTTATTTTTGAGTTAATGGTTGCCAGATTAATCAAGTTACAAATGTGCATAATTTCTTTTTTTAACTGGAATATTTAAATAGGCTTATTCTTAGCAGTTCTGTAATATTAATTTCATGCAAAATGAGTCATTATTAAATGCTTATGAGGAAAACTATTTTTAAGACATGTTCTCATTTAAAAATGTAACATTACTTTCTGCAGTAAAAATGTACTAGATTAATTAACACTACACCATGACTGGTGGGATTTATGCTCTAAATAAGAATACTTTTTTTGCTGGACTAAAGAAAACTGGAGTAAAATTGGTTTAATGTTATTTTGTTTTGTTTTTGTTTTATTTTGTTTGGTACTGGGGATTGAACTCAGGTCCTTGATCTTGCTAGGCAGGCGGCAGAACCACTGAACTAAATCCCCAGCTGGGGTTAATGTTATTTTCAAACAGAGTGATGTATCATTGCTCAATGGAGAAGAGACAGATTTTTATTTCCTGGGAATTATATGTCAGAGATTAAGAGGGTTGTTTCACTGTCCTCCAACATTCATAGAACTTTAGTAAGTAGATAAGAGTTTCCTGTCTTATCTCCTGTATGGCTTAGGTCCCCTTATCTGCCTTTTTTTTTTTTAATGAAACTTATTACTCTCTTGAGTTTGCCTCATTTTGATAAGTATGAATCTGATGATCTATGCTGCAGGAAGAGGAGATGTTGAGTAAATGAAGATTCCCTTCACTAGACTAAGCCCCACAGACACAGTGTATATATCTTTTCACCACAACACCCTCAGACCCTAGTTTTCACCTCAGCTTAGTTCTGTGGCCAGTCACAGAGACTTGAAATAACACTAGTTTAAGCCCCTATTTGCCATATGGTTAATATCCCGATAAACCCCACTGTAAGTTGAAAATATCCCAAGTCAAAATGTGGTTATTACATCTAACTTACATGAATATCACAGCTTAGCAGCCCAATATACTACAGAGAATGAGCTGTTTCCTCTCATAATCTTGTGGTTGCTGAGGGGCAGTGGCAGCCACTGCCCTGCATTATGAGACAGGATCATACCAAATAACACTAGCCTGGGAAAAGATCAAAACTGAAGATTTAGAGTATGATTTTTACCAGACACATATTGTTTTTGGACGATTATGAAGTTAAAAGACTGTTAAGTCGAACCACCAACGGATGGTCTGTCAAACTAGTCCTAGGTGTATTCCTTCAACAGTGCTCCAGAGTGTGTGGGTAGAGGTTGGAGAAAGGAATCATCTGCAAAATCTTTCCCATTACTTTCTACTCTACACTTCCTATCTTCCATTAATTTCTATCGCCTGCGGCTCTCCTATGATGGCTAATCGTGATATGTCAACTTGAATGGATGAAGAAACACCTAGGTTAGTAAAACACAGATCTGGGCGTGTCTGTGGATGACGAACATGTAGGCCAGCCAACAGGGAGGCACACCCATTTCAGATGTAGACAGCCCTGTCCAATAGGCCTGCAGCCTGGAAGAAATAAAAAGGAAAAGAAGAAAGGCTTCCCGTTTTGACAATCTCCAGCGGTGTACCCTCTGCTTCCTGGGTGTACCTTTGGCTGCCTTTGCCTGTAGAGATCAGCCTTCAGTTTCTGCAGCCTTCCAATGCAGACTGCACTGGCAACTCTGCAGTGAGCTTCTAGGCTATCCACCTCGGAGAGGTGCTGCGTGATTTTTGTTTGTTTTGGTTTTTTTTGGTCTTGTTTTTGTACCAGTGAGCTGCTACATTCTTGATACCTCGTTTTATGGTTCACCTTCTTGGGCTGAGCGGGTACTAGATCCAACTCCTCAGCACCCATAATGCCATTGTGAACTTTTCTGCCTCTGATCCTGTAAGCCTAATAAATCTCCATGCATAATTAATGATGTTTTTTATTGATTTAATTCCTCTAGAGAACCCTAATTAATACACCTCCTTTCAACTTCAGGTGTGTTTTTCTCCTCAGGAAAGTGGATCAAAGACTGTCACTATTACTTCCTCTGTTCCCTGTCCCCTCCTTTTTTGTGGCCCTGAGGATTGAAATGTTTTCTCCACAAATATTATTCTCACGGTTCTCTTAATTCAATGTCTATTCCCTCAGTCAGAATGTGAATGAGAAGGCAACACAGTGAGTGCAGTGCATATGCCTCTAGGATCATGTGACCTATTCACTATTTTCTCCCCATACTTAGGGGACAAGCAAGCACACATGATGTGGTAAGAAGCACAAGCACTCATGTGAATCTACCTGGATTTGAAGCTGGGATCCAACATCTACTAAAAAAGATGGCTCTATGCATCTTCTCACACATCTGTGAAACTGAAACATTCCTACCACATAAATCACTGTGAGGATTACAGGAAATTATGCAGGCCAAGGAATTAGCCCACTGCCTGGATTTAATAAATACACACTGATGTTTGAGGCACCAAAGGCAAATATCAAAGCCATGGGCCAAATAATGCTTGGTGTTAAAGTGGCAAATGAGGGCAGGAAGACACATGGGTGTCTGGACTCATTCCAGAAGTAGAAGTCTTACTACAATAACTTCTGCAACAGGCAGTCCAAGACAGGCGATTCTGTTTGTTGAACTCTGAAGGAAGATTTGGTAAATTTCAGAAATTTTGCAGCATTCAGCAGGGGTTATTTTTCCCCTTTAGAATATAAAGATTTAATGTAAAGAATGTAATAGTGTTCACATTTTTCACTTTGGTCACATTATTTAAGTATAACTAAGCTCTATACTAAAGCCAAATTACAGAGGTATATGTAAACTATTTTAAGATTCATTTAAAAATAAGATTTGTGCAAAATGATCATCACATTATTGTTTAAAACATTAGGATAGCTCCAAGCATATGGGTGCCAGAATAAAATGTGTCTATAAATCCCCACAAATTTAAATTTGGATTTTTATACTGTAAATGCTTTCCATTTAAGATACAAATTACCCCTACACATGCTATCATATTATATACTGGCAAAGCTGCAGGAGCCTAGAAATTCTTTATTGACTACCAGCTTAAAAAGACAACACTGCAAGATGGGAAGACCTTAATATTAACACTAAAAACACTAAAAAGATTCTTTACCAAAGAGGTGATTAAAATATACAGTAAATGTTTAAATTTTAAAAATTGATTACAGTACACATTGCTATTATTCCATTCTAGAATAGTCCCCCTTGATCTGAGTATACTTATTTCATCATTTCTGCCACATTCTGGAGAAGTTCTGGAAGTTCTTTCTCCTGTTTTTTTGTTTGTTTTTTGGTACCAGGGATCAAACTCAGGACCTTGTGCTTGCGAGGCAGGCGGCAGAACCACTGAGCTAAATCCCCGGCCCTCTCCTGTTTTTATAAAGTGTGATTAAAAAATATGGCGAATGCTGCTGCCAAGTGCCATCGAACAGAAAGGGAAGCTTGTAAAAACACTGTGCTGTGGCCTCATCCATTTTTTTTTCTTCACTGCTTCTGGAACCACGTGATTTCTGTCTTCCCAAAGTCAAAATGACCATGACAGGTAAACATTTTGAATTGATTCAGGACACAGAGGGCTACAGCGCAACTAAGTCACTCATGAAACAGGACTTCCAGAAGTGCCTCAGAAAGTGGCACTAAAGATGATGTTCTTGGGTAGTCTGTTTGAAGGCTGAATGTTACAGAGTTCTGGGTTGTCCGCCTCTCCTTCTGGTCAGATTCCAGGTTCTTCTAGTCTTGAACAAAGAATTGAATGAAATGAGTAAAAAGCAGTTTATTCAAGAAAACCAAAGTGAAGAGTGTGGGAGAAACTGGCTCTGAAGAGCAAGCTTAGCTCAAGTAAACAGTAAAGAGGGTAAAAGCAAAGATAAAAGAACACTCTGAATCTGGGAAATGCAGCTATGGCTATCACGGAAGTTAAAATAGCACTGTTCCTCATGGCTGCCTTTCCTTTATATTGACCAAATCTGGAAGATACCCAAGAGAACTTCTACATATGGGTCCTGAGAGGTGGTGCTGGAATCCCATGCCTCAGGTTGAGGTCAGGTCCAGGCCATCCTACTGAAGACCTGCTTGAGCTCACTTATCTAGAAGTCCATGTGCAGAGCTTTGGAAACTGTTCTGTGAGTGTGTCTGGGATCTTGTAGTTAATAGGTCATGACTATTTCCCCAGCCAGCTTTTGTTAAGCCCCATAATGTCCTACCTCAACGGCATTAAGTGTGTTGAGGAAGAAGTGATGTGTCTTTTACTGTAATACATTTTTAACATTCACCGTTTTTTAAATCACACTCCACATGTAAAAAGGAGCTGAGTAGTTAAGATTTTTTTTCTCCAAAGAAATAAATGACTTCATTGCTTTCTTTGCTGGTGATTGCAGGACTAAAACATTTACTTATAATTTGCCACCACAGACCTTTCTCATGGTCCAAGTATCACACTGAGTGTCACACACCGCAGGCCATGATTTGGGTTCAGTCACATAAGGATACATACTTGAAGAAAGCGGACTTCTTCAGTAGCAAAGAAGGGACTCAAACACCTGATTCCCTAATATAGATGCACATTTTTTTCTGCCCAATTTTACCTCCAGTTTTAGATCCCTTTACTGTATTTTTTTTTCTTTAGAATTTTGTTGCTATCCCTACGATACACACTGATGTTATCATTTATGAGCTTTATAGCCCTGGTAACTTAAATTTCTGAACTGAATTCATCCTCTGCTAAAAATGGTTATTCTTTCATTGTGAGAACAGCTTGTGTTTAAATTATTGAGAGCCAGCTGTATTATATGCATACATTTGACTTTACTTTTTAGAAGCACACATGTAGTTTTACAATTACAATTTATGGTTACGAGACGTCGATTTTAAAAATTCTAAATGCTGTGGCTATATTCTTCATATTACTGGATGGTTTTATCATTTAAATTTCTGTGAAAACTTTCTTGGATTACTAAATCCAAGAATAAAAACCCAAGAAAATACCACCGACATGGACGATGGTCTTAGAAAATGTCCTTATCATTTAAATGGCCTTAAATACAATCTTTTACCTTAAACACTGTACAGGCCTGCTTTGGGGGTGTGCATTCACCCAAAAAACTTCTCTTTCGTTTAAAATATACTTAAGGTCATATTCTAGGGCTCTAGAGGTTTTACTCCATTGAGAAAGCTTCAATTACTATTAAAAGAACTAATGTCTATTTTAATCTCTTCCACACCGTGAACACAATCTTAAAATAACTGGACAGTAACTGGATGAAAAACCCCGAGGTTTGCGACGAGAACCCCTCCCACCAGTCGGCCGTACATACTTCCGCCCGCGTCGCCCCCGCCCCAGGCCGGAAG